TGCTCCGTCTTCCAGCCTCTGAGTACGACAAGCTCGAGAGTTTGTATTTTTACATCGATGGCGTGAGTCAAGATACAATTGATTGTGGTGGAACGTGATCGAATTCTTTGTTTTGCAGACGACCTATGAGCTCACTGCGAACGCTCAGATCTGGCCTGTGTGTACTTGCGTCCATGAGTTTCATATTGATTCTAATGTACTTCCAGCGATCTCTTAACAGTGTCATTGGCGGAAGCAGCGACAACATCTACCTTATTGTCAATAGCATCGGGTCCCTGAGTGGAGCAGGGCTGGACTTTATCAACGGCTACACGTTCCTCGAGCGGTATTACTCCGTCTTTGATACTACTAACGGCCTAGTCGGTTTTGCCGAGACCGCATATACTTACGCTACCAGCAACTGAGCGTACTTAAGATCCTCTTGCATACGGAGGGATACGAGCGAGCGAATTGTGATGGGCTTGCGGGAACATCATGTCGATGGTGTGGATTGAATTGACTGGAACTTGGGGATAGTGATGTATTTTAATTCTCATTTAGCGATGTCTGTATTTCAATCGTTAGATCAAGACTTCTTAATTTGACCTTGTCACAATATGGTACTGAGCGAGATTTGTCCATGACAATTGAGTACTCGAACGAACGCATATGTACCGGTATCGGTAAGCTCGGCAATACAACACTGACCTTTGTTAGCAAAGCCCTCGGACGAAGTCCATGACGCGAAGGGCATTTGATCCTTACAAGCTTAAGACGAGCAGAGTAAAGCTACAAACTCGGCGCCGATTCAACGGCGTCCCCGGTGTTCTAGAATAGGCAACTCTACCTTCCTTGAATCCAGCCAACTACTTGAGTGCCCTCCACATCCACTCGACCCGCACAGACATGTCAGGAGCTCAAGCCGCAATCCCACCCCAACCGCGCGCAAAGCAGCTGCGCGCATGTTTGCTCTGTTCCATCATCCAGACTCCGGCCGACTTCAGGAAGCACGGGTGTCCAAATTGCGAGGAGCTCATGCAGGTGCGTGTCTTCCACCTCGTCGTTGATGTATCATTTGAGCTCATCTCTTGCACTTTTGTTTCTGCCACAGATGAAGGGATACACAGATCGCATCCAAGCTTGCACCACGACGCATTTCGACGGTGTGATTGGCGTTATTGACCCGGAGCAGAGCTGGGTGGCGCGCTGGCAGCGGACATGTAAGCACCCTGTCGTCTTCATCTATCTATCGACGTGTGGTAACGAAGTGTTGCTCGGCAGCAAAATACGTCCGCGGGATGTACGCCGTGCGCGTCAAGGGTCGTATACCTGACGATGTGGAGGCCGAATTGGAGAGCCGGGGCATCAAGTATCGTCCTAGAGACCAGTCAGAGCAGGACTGAAGTGCTCGTACTGGTAGCTTTTGAGCATTTCCTGTATTTATATTTCCCGACTCTTGTATCATTATGTCTATGGGTTGCCCCTGCGATTTCGTTCAATTTGCTCCGGTTTTGTGACACAGCGATCGTTCCCCTTGCGCTCAGAAGCCGCTATGTAAGGTAATATGAGGGATAAAATGATTGTGTAGGCCTAGTAGTGACACGGTGCAAACCTCAGTATGCTACAAGCTGTCCAAAAGTTATCAGTACATCCTTGTATAGCTGCGACCGTCCGAGCGGGCCTAAACTACAAAAGACAGTATTCTAACGGAAGGTTACTAATCGATCAATTTCCTATAATTACAACAGTTCATGCACAACTCGGTCGTACTGATGCGGCATGTGTGCGCTGAGCATATCGCGCGCGAACACGATCTGCGAGAACGCGCGCTCTACGTCGAGTACGTGGAACAATCGGACCTTCTCCTCCCCTCGGTTGCTTCTCATGCTGCCGTTAGCTTCGCGTAAGCGATGAGAGGGGTGCAAGTCCCCGTCCCGCAGCGCCCAGAAGACCTGCCCAGGAGGGAAAAGCTGCGTCATGTGCATGTTCGCCTCGAGGGTCTTACGTATTGCAAGGAACTGTGGGCGAACATCGATTGTCAATGGAAATCTAGTTGGATGTAATGGTCTTCACGCACCCAATCTTCGTCTCCATCCTTTCCGTACCCCGCCTTCCACCGCAACGCGCGTTTCGTTACAGCTGAGTGTCCTTCTCCGTGCGCGACCTCCGCCTGACACAGCCAGGAGCAGCACCGACTTAGGTCCCTCATGCTCCCGAGTGAGAGGCGCGACACGATGTCGTGTCCGTATACGAAGGAGGTTACGAGACCATGTTTCCCCGCGATAGATGCTAGGCGGGGGGATGTAAGACACGGTGGCGCGAAGCAGTAAGCAGAGACGGCGCGACGTTGCGGTAGCCCTGAATACCGGTGTGTAAGGCGGGTATTAGGATCAGCCCACATCTACATTGTGATTGAACCATCAAGACTCGATAAAGATGGAAGAAGACATGACATACGAGTGAGAGAAGAGCGGCGACGCCCGCTCCGAGACTATGTCCGCATAGAACCAAGGCTGCAAAATGATTTGTGAGTAGCTGTGTTAGCGACACGCAACATGCGCACAGTATTCCCTGTTTCGTCTCAAGGCCTCTCGTACTGCGGTATGAACAGGCTTTCCAGGCGCACCCATCGCTCTTGCCATCTTCAACATACCTCCATGCACCAGGTGTATGCTACCGTCCAGGTCGTCTGGACGGTCGGGGGTCGTTGCATTCGTCGGAGGGGGCAGATGAACCTGGCGAGGAGAGCGCTCCGTCGGAGCAGGTGTAGAGATATCAATGGGAAACGAGCCTGGAATACATCCCAATTCTTCTTCGACCTCGCTCCACGAATCGTCCTCGTCCTTGTTCGAGTCGGTTTCTTGCGCTGCACGAACCTTCGACTTCGACCGAGAGCGCGGTCGTGAAGCTGTGTGGAGCTCAAACGGCGTAGGCTCGCAGGTGAGGTCAACGGCGAGTTCGTTAAGACTCATCGTTCCCCGGATGACGAGCACGACTTCGCGCCTAGCGTGGTCTGTGAGTACCCAGAAGCGGGGCATCAAGTTCTCATTGCCAATATATGCGGTAGGAGGTCGTGATGGCTGTTGCAATGGATTTGATCGGGAGCTGTCCTGCATACAATCAGTACACGCAACTCTGGGATTAGCCTGGAACGGCGCAAAATATACGTACTGGCATGTCCGTAGTTGGCTGAGGAGGGTGTGAGTTGGCAAATTTCAGGAAAATATCACGGTCGTGTTTGCCCATCATAACATTCCACCAGGAGTATGACGGCTTCCCTGGCTCCGATGTTGAATCATCAGCATCACAGCTGGGTTGAAAACGAGACGAGGACGCTTCTGCTTCTGATGCACCGATGGCGTCAGTGAGTTTTACTTCTTCCTTACGCAGGCTCTTGTTTGACATCGAGGAAGACCATGGTGAGACTCCAAAGAAAAGAAGGCTAGGACCCCCATACCCCGCCAGCACCAGCTTCGAGAACCGACGCAATGTCTGCTTGAGCTCAGCATTAGACATACATGGATGATCATCAAAGGCCAATTGACTGGAAATATTCGGTGTAACGACTGCTGGTGTAGAAATCGGAGTAGCGGCTTCGCCAATGTCCGCAGTGACAATTTGGCCACCGCCATGCGGATAGATCACGTCTGTTGTTATGTGTACATTGGCATCGCCATGAGGCTGTTCTGACTCGCCAGCCATCTGGAACGTAGCAGG